AGGATTGTCCATTAATAAAGGGGTAATGTCCTAACTGTTCCTGGCTCAGGTAGCTGGGCAAAGGGTAAAGGTGAGGACATCTGGCAGTTCTGTGGATGGGTAGATAAATGTTCGACAGGACAAATATTTTTGTCAACAGAAATTCTGGTAGAAGCTTTCTGAGATTTGAGGGAGAGGTCATGAAAAACCATGTTGCTCATTAATCACTGCAAATGTTTTCCAAACTCTTTGCTCTATTTCCAAATCTGAGAAATTGGTTTAAAATTGGCTTGGAAAATTTCAGATCTATGGTGCCTGCAATCTTGAACTTTAAGCTCTGCTGAATTTGGTCACCAGGAACAAAGGGTCAATTTTAGTCTAACAGAGGCAGAAATTCAGATGCTCATTTGAAATCTGAAAGAGTGATACCTCTGAGGGCACAGGAATCTCACAGGAAAAAGTCAGAACAAGGCAGGGAGATTAAATAAGGAACACCTTGGTTCTAGACAGAAATACTACTGTGATTTGCAGCTCATATTTTTCATCATAAACAGCCAACACTTAATGACACTTCCTCTGAAGCTCTTTGCATGTGTTGTCCTTGCATCCCTTCCCCAGGACATGCTGTTCGTTCTCTGTCTCATGGACTAGCCAGGTAGGGGGCACTGCCCAAGGTCACAAAGCTAGTAAGTGGCAGAGCTGGAGGAGCAACCCAGGTCTGCGGGGCTCTTGAATCTTAGCTTTTAACCATGTATTAGTCCATTTTTGTGTTGCTATATTAGAGTATCCGAGACTGAGTAATTTATAAAGAAAAGAGGCTTATTTGGCTTATTCTGGGACAGCTGCATCTGGTGTGGGCCTCAGGCTGCTTCTACTCAGGGTGGAAAACGGCAGGGCAGCCAGCGGGTACAAGCAGATCACATGGCGAGAGGAAGTGAGAGACAGACAGAGAGAGAGAGAGGGAGGAAGGGAGGGAGAGAGGGAGGGAGGGACAGAGGGACAGGAGGTGCCAGGGTCCTTTGGCCAACCAGCTCTTGTGGGAACTAATAGAGCGAGAATTCACTCACTAACTTCCCCCTCCC